ATGGCTATCCAACATCTTCTTAAAGTCTTCCAGTGTTGGGGCATTCACAACTTCTGGAGGCAACTTCTGTTCCACTGATTATAAATGTTAGATATACTTTTTTGTCTTAAGGTCAGCATCTCTGCTTCTGTCATTTCTTTTATAATGTTATGTGGATTTGGACATAAGTTATTTTTTATATTCTGTTATGAAAATCACTAGCGGTTGACTCTAATTCTTTCTCAGGTTTTACAAACTAATGGTTACTGATCTGAACTGCAGAAGCCTAGACAACCACAAGGTGGAACCAAAGAGACTCTTTGCGTCTCTTTGTCACCATCTAGTGGTTATGTAAATTTTGGCTGCCTTCAATGCTCCTTCTCTAGTAATGAACCTGTACTTGCTGTTCCATAACATAAAAAGTCTCAAACTTTTTAATTTAAATCTAAATTTTAACGGTAATTTAGTGAAAGCATGTCATCAGACAGATGGAGACTAAAGACTTCCCCATTTATTCTCTCTTTCTGTATCAGCTCTCCATATCACTGCATTAAATCTTCTTTGTGGCACAGTGTGGCTGGGTGCAGGGAAAGAACACACGGGCCGGTTTTTATTGTAGAATTTTGGAAAGTGGCTTTGATAACATCGTGCGTTGAAGCTTCATTGTTCCTCTCCTGCTATCTTTAATTTACAGAGAAGCATCTCCTTTATGGCCGCCCAGCAGTTCTTTTTCGAACAAAGTACAGCCTCTTGCACCATCATGACTTTGAAAGTGGCTACAGCGAAACATTCCAGATGCCTCTCTGGACATCTTACACTATTTCAAAACAGGTCAGTAAGCTTGCCTGTTCTCTGTTTCAGTAACAGGGGTGGGAAGAGGAGGTGTTGGTAGCATCCTCGGTGTCAGGTGTCCAAATAGCATCCGGAAGTAAATCAGCATCCAAGGCAAAAGTTTTCTCAAAGTTCTAATTTATTAAGATAGCCTTGTTGGCACATCTGTGAAAAACCGAATCTGAAAGCTTCCAGGTTTTCCCACCCAGTTGAAAGTTCAAGATCCTGCCCCAACACCCACAAGTCCATCACAGGGTCCAATCTTCCACTGCCACTAAGACAGAGTGCACCTATCCAGTTCCGGCCAGGTGCAGAGACAAAGGATGACCTTGAGTTTCTAAGAAGAATGTTATTATGGCTACATATCACCTAACTCCTTATAATCCCCCCCTCCATTTTCCCACA